AAGGAATTGGAGCTTGCAAATCTTCAGGCCGCGGATAGATGGAGCTGTTGCAATTACCCGCTCTTGTATATGACAGCTTCACTCAATATCTGACAGGGTCCGCAAGAACAGTGGTTCAGACTCATGCAGCAGGTTAGGGAACTGATCTAAACAAGCTTAGCAATCAGAACCTTGTTAATTTAAAGCGAAGGGAAACAACGCAGGTACTACTAGTGTGCATGGACTGGCGGGGGTCTTAGGAAAGGAAATGTTTCCTTCTCAGGCAATTCTTTGTTTTGAAGGGGGAAAAAGAGGGGGATGGGGGGAGGGAGGGGGCTGGTGAGAAAAATCTTTGTACTAACCCTACGGAAGCAGCAAAGAGGTTTCTGTTGCTGAAGACAAGAAAGGTGAGTGATACTGAAATAGTTCCTTTGTGGTTATCCGTTCGTTTCGGTTTTGTTTTATGAGTGTGTTGTTCCTTGCCCGTTTCACATAGGAGTTGTTATGTAGTTAGTTGGTGGGAAGTTTGGGGCAGATGTAGAGGAAGTATAGCCTGCGAGGGGAAGTTGGGTAAAGGTCAAAGGTCGAATGGTACGAATGACGATGGAGGGTGGATGGGTATATGAAGGGAGAGACGATCCTCTGGTGATATTAGTACTTTAAGAATGGAATTCTAGAAGCAATATATTAAGGACATATAAGGTATATGTATGTGTATGTGGCTGTCGGATGGTGCCACTCACTGGGCTATTAATCTGGGGCGAGGAATTGATGCGCAGCGGTTTTGATATGAGAAAGATAGATCGACAAGAGCTGCTTGGCTTACACACATCGATTCGCATTACAGTGCAGCAGCAGAAGAAGAGTTGAGAGCCAACCGGGGGTCCGTATTTCTATTTTATGTCTACCCTCCGCGATACCATATACCATACTACAACAGACTTTTACCCATGCTAACCGCAGAAGCAGGGCCAGCATGATGCAGCAAAAGGCGAGCCATAAGTTCATCAGACCTTATTTTATTTTTATTTATTTATATTTTTTCATTTCTCTGATTTCTGTGGGTGGTGGGGGAGATAGTGGGAAGGGTCCCAGATGTGGGTGAGGAGTGGGAGGGCAACTGGCAGCAAGCATCAGTAGCGGCAGGGAGAGACAAATATTACTCCAACTGCTGCGGTCTCCTGTTGGTCCAGGAATACTGTTTCCGCAGAAAGCCACGCCCCTAAGCTTTTTACGGGGGCTTCAACCAACAGCCATTGCGGCGGCGGCAGGGGTGCTGAGGGAAGCTCAACTGTGGTTCACAAATGATGGCGGACCAAGATTGCCCTTGTCCCCCTCCCTCGCTAGCTAGGTTCGCAGCATAGTCGCAAACAGCCAGAAGAGACGGACAGGGAAAAGTAAAGATATAAAATAAAATAAATAAAAAGGCGCCTGGGCTTCTTTAGTTTACCGGTTCTGTATTGGGCGATCGCCTTGTGGCTTTCCTAGCGCAAACTCTGTCCGAGGAAGATTTTAATCTCAGATCTTACCAACGGCGTTATTTATTCAATTTTCTGTTTCGAGTTTTGGCCCTCCTTTCGCGTCATGTTTGTCGCCATCTTCTCAGTATGGTCCGTTTCTGTTCCCTCTTGCAAGGGTCATCCTTAGCGATAGCAGCAGGTATGTTCTGTACATCATTATATATAGCTTCGTGCGGGGAGCCTCTAAAAAGGTCAGGCTACGTCCGTATGTCAGGCCCTGTATTGGCGGAAATGAGAGTCCAAGGAAGCTATATAGAGCCAGGATAGCCGGGTAGCATCCATCCTCAACGAGTGTCAGTGCTGTACGAGCTGGTACCTCAGGCTTTTCCGGTAATTTAAAATCGTCACCATGGCTTCAATACATCCACCGTTTCTGCGTTGTGAAATGCGTTGTAAGTGGTTTCCGCCCTGTCGGGACAACGACAACAACCCATGGCTGGCCCCCATTTGGTTTTCGGACGCGACATGGGCCATGGGCAGGCTTCCATTCACGTATCCTGCTTGTTCTGCACCCTGGACATCTGAATATTAGCCATGTCTGCCATTTAAAAATTAAAATAGTAGGGGGGACCAAAGCAATCAGTTCCGCCATTTTGCATCATGGAGCCGCGGGAATCTGGACGGCGATATCTGAACGGGTTTCGGGAACTACCTTAAGCAGCACGGGAGGTGGCAGACGGATATGAGACATTTAGTGGCTTTTTTTTTATTCTTTTATTTTTTATTTTTCTTATTTTCATTTTTGGCTTGTTGATCATGATTCATGAACACCGAGATAACAACCAACCGGCAAATCAGAAAAAATTGGAAGAGATCAAATACGCCAATCATAGCATGGGGGCTAGGAAAAATCCTCCGCCAGAGAGGACCTGGGCAGTTTCAATAAAACTGGAACTTGGCCTCAGATCATTTACGGCGACCACAAGCGCAGCCCGAATGGAACTCTATTTTTGCGGGGTTCACTTTCTGATCTGTGCCATATCCACAGCCCTGACATGATAGCGTTTAGCGGCCAACCAACCCACCGTCAGGCCACCGTCAGTTGGACTGGAGAATTAGCCCATGGGCGCAAAGAGAAGCCCCCGTACCTGATAGTTTTCTCAACATCGCGATGTGGCGGAGGCGTGCTCGACCAAGTCACATGAGCCATTATTGGGCGCAGGATGCTCAACTTCGAAGGGTCGGGGTTCTGCACAAGGTTCACGATATGCGCGAGAGATCCAACGATAGCGTCAGCGCAACCGAAACTCAACCAACATTTGATTTGACACGGCACGGTTGTGTCGCAGCATATAATCATATTATACTATCCGGAAGGTTTCTCTAATGGAGACACTATCCCTTTCTCTTCGCTGAGAGTTGGTTAACGAAGGCGAAAAAGGAATCAGTCATAACATTCGCAAAGGGCATTGCCGTTTGCTTTATTGTTTTCTTTTTTTCTGCTTCCTCTTGACGCTGGGTCTCGACGTGTAGAATTCATGTAATAATAGCCGATCTGACAACCTGTCATGTCACTTGCTTCTTTTCTTCTTCTGACCCTGCAGGGCTCTCAGAAAACGTGATCGATGTGTCCCAGACCAAAAAGTGCGCCAAAAAAAAAAAAAAAAAAAAAAAAACACGGCAGTGGCCACAGAAGCCTTTGCCTATACATAAGTATTATATGTTCTATTCCACTAGAAAGTACACTGTACGCAGTTGTCTCGCAATGGCCAGCGCCAGTACATACAAGGCAGTTGGTGATACGCTTTCCAACATGGCAGGAAGGGAAACTGAGTTTAATCTGATACGAACCGGCAAGCCCAGATGAACCGTGTCGGACAGGCTAATTAGTGTAAAGTGGTGATTCCCCAAGCATTGAAAACTCTAAACGAGTCAAGATGTGCAAATCCTGCTCTTTCTAAGGGCTCTAGACGTAATAGACAGAGTGTGCATGTGTGCACAGATGAATATCACAACACGTCCAAATCCGTGATATCGATTCAGCACGGAAAAAAGATAACAGCAGATGTGTAGTGCTGTGCTGTTGCATTGGTGAAGGGCGCATCAGGAGAGAGGTACTGGCTCGAAGCGCAGGTTTGCTAGCACGGAGGACAGAGTAGTCAATGATTCGTTGGGCAATGTGGCAGGGTTCCTGAGCTCCTCATCGAAGATATATCTGTAGGCATACAGGACGCCCCCCTTCCATACAAATCTAGGTGCATATGTATGGTTAATGCAATTATTCATTCATTCATTCATACGTACATACTTACTAGTACTCATGTAAAGTACAGACTTACTTACATACATGCATAAATAAATTGAACATCTTTTTGCCCTCCTCAAGAATTGAATACGTAGGACCCAAATCTGCTGAATGACTCGATTCCCCACAGGTCGCGGGGAAAGATTCGCCTTCGGCCGTCGCCCTTGCTCTCCAAGTTGCTCCAGATGAGGTCTTGACGAAGAAGTCCACGTCCTGGGGTTGCAGAGCAGCACCTGGCGAATGAAGGGCCACTGGCGACATCTCGCTTCCCCCCGGCAAGGTCTGATTGGTGCAGGCGGCGAAGAGGCGTTAGAAACGCAGAAACCAACCCCGATCCGCCTCCTCCAACTGGCCAATATCGAATGCTCGAATGCTCGAATGCCCGGTCGGTGGTCGACAACCTGGTCTGTATTGGCGTGTATTGGACTGTACTGGGGTGTAGTGGCCCGGTATTTGAGGGGAGGCGGATTTGCTGTGGTTGGTTCGTAACAGAAAACCACTTTTTTGGCTCGGTGTGACGTCTGCGGCTCGTCGGCTTGGCGGCGCTTGGCGTGTGAATGCTGAACCAGTCTGTCGGGTCGGATAATGGGCTGTGATTGGCTGCGCATGTCACCAACGTGCCTAGATTGTATTGAGTCTAGCGCGGGATGATCGACGGAGAACGGCCAGCTTAGTCAGTCGGACACTCCCCAACCAACTGTGATGCTGCTCGGCAGGGGACACCAACAAGTGTGACATCGATTTTTTGAGAGAGAGAGGGTTCGTGTGCGGGAAAAGAACTGTGAGCTGGAATACCAGGCCGATCCTGCACCTTCTCGGCCTTCCGGCCTACCGAAAATTCAGCGCAAATCGGTGCTTTCTGTCCCGCTGTGCCATGCACCCCAATTTCAACAAACGGAAGCATGGATTTTCAGCATCCGCGCATATCACTAGAATCCCTTCTCATGTCGGCGACTGCAGCTGCTTGGCGGGCCTGGCTGGTCGCCGACCTTTCGAGAAACCGTGCCTACATTTGCTCTGCGTCATTTCATGCCATGATCCTGCTTCGTCCAGGGGATCAAACAATTGCGTGATTTAACAACTCCAGGGAGAACCATTCTTAATTACGCGTTACCACATACTGCGTATATTTCTTTCTCTCTCTGCAGAAATGAAGGCCGCTTATTGTCCAGGTATTCGGGGTGGCTGGGTCTGTGCAAAGTCTCTAATCGTAAGTTCCTGCTCGGGTTGGTCCGTGGTTCCTGCAGCTCCCCCTGATACTTTGCCTTCTCTCTCTTTTTTTTTTTTTTTTTTTTAAAAAAAATAATTATTGCTATTTCTAGTCATTCTTATTAACGGGTCACAGTGAGTGTGTGGAGGTACCAGTCAATGCTGGTGAGGGAACGACGCCCATGGCCGAACGCCTTCGCCGAAGATTCCGCAATTAATAGGGGTGCGCTTGGGAAAGCAACTATCCCCCGGTTAAATATAAGCAAAAACCATAAATATGAGAAAGCAAGAGGACCAGATGTGTTCTTCTGGCGGGGGGTTTCTGGGGATAGGGAACACAGGAGATAAGCACAGCTACAGGCTTATCCCTACTCTAGCGCTGAAGACGCGCAAGGCAAGCTACCGTATACACTTGTACAGTATAATATTGTCTGTTATTTTGCGGGTGTAATTACCATATTTCCGATTTGGGCTTCCATCTCGGAATTTAGACCCCTTGATCGCACAACCCCCCCCATCACTATCAGGTTGTCCAAGCCTAAGAAGCAGAAGATGGCTGGGCGCGAATTTATTTCATTTTAGCATACTTTCATGAGAAGCCGTCGAAAAATTAAGAGTCTCAGGCGCATGTGCAATCTGGCATCGAAATGGACCCTGTTCCCCGTTTTATTCGACCGTTGACAAATGCGGCCAGCATGAACTCCCGCCATTGGCTGGAAGAAATCACCAACGTTTGTTTATGGAATAGAGCTATGCGTATCAAAAAGTCTAATTTTCTCAAGCACTTGCCGGGGCGGCTCACGACGATAGCCGATATGTTCAATCCACTCCACTCACGATGTGTCATTTCTCTTCGGCTTTTTTTCAATGTGAACTGCAATGTTTGCTAGTTGGCGATTGACGATGGACACTAGCATGGTCCAGTTGCAAAGACATCAGCCCCGAAACCGGCCTCGTCTCAGCACGTTACAATATTTACTGTCCTGCTGTTAGTTGTTATAAGCTTTCCTCATCCGGTTGGCGGGGCT